CTTTGGTCAGGATGTATGCTATTATTGTCACGAGCCTGGACACTTCGCGAACCGTTGTCCGAAGAAGGCGCAGCAGCCTCAGCAGCCTCAGCAGCCACCGCAGCAGCAGCAGCCCCGGCAGCAGGCACAGAGGCAGCCTCAGCAGCAGCAGCAGAGGGGCAGACAGCAGGCCCGAGTTTACGCCGTCGATCAGGTCGAGGCCGAGCAGCAGCCAGGTACTATGTCAGGGATGATCATGTTAAATAATGTTCTTGTGTTTGCTTTATTCGATACTGGAGCGACGCACTCTTTTATTTCACGACGATGCCTTTCCATCGATGGTCATGCCATTACCGCTGTCGATCCTCTCGAGGTGAGTCTAGCCTCGGGACAAAAGATAGTGACCTCAGCTAGAGCCTCAGATCTCAGCCTTTCCATTGATGGTCGTTCATTGTCTACCGACGCGTATGTTCTTGAGATGAGGGACTTCGACCTCATTCTCGGAATGAATTGGCTATCTTTTTATCATGCAGATATCCGATGTCATGACCGGGAGATTACTCTCTATCTTCCGGGAGACGACTCAATTACCTTCTTTGGCACCCGGAACCGTTCATTGCCTCATGTTGTTTCGATGGCGAAAGCCACCAAGTTGCTGCGACGAGGCAACTGCCAGGGTTATCTGGTGAACCTTGTCGATGATTCTCAGAAGCACGATCACCTCACGATGTTCTAGTTGTTCGTGAGTTTGTGGACTTGTTCCCAGACGAACTTCCAGGAGGACCGCCTAACCGGCAGGTGGAGTTCTCTATCGATCTCATTCCAGGAGCCGGCCCAGTATCCAAAGCCCCATACCGTATGGCGCCGAAGGAGTTGCAGGAGCTTAAGGTGCAGATTCAGGAGCTATTACGACTCGATTTCATCCGACCGAGCATGTCACCTTGGGGAGCACCCATTCTTTTTTTCAAGAAGAAGGACGGTTCTATGCGTATGTGTATCGACTACCGGGATCTTAACCGGTTGACGATCAAGAACAAGTATCTGCTTCCCAGGATCGACGACTTATTTGATCAGTTGAGGGGAACCTGTGTATTTTCAAAGATTGACTTGTGATCAGGCTACCACCAGCTGAAGATTAAGGAGTCAGATATTGCTAAGACCGCTTTCAGGACTAGTTACGGCCATTACGAGTTCGTCGTCATGCCATTCGGCCTCAGTAATGCTCCAGCGGTTTTCATGGACCTGATGAACCGTATTTTCCATCCCTACCTCGATCAGTTTGTTATTGTCTTTATTGACGATATTCTTATCTACTCGAAGAGCCAGAAGGAGCACGAGGAGCATCTGAGGGTGGTTCTCGAAACCCTCAGACGATAAAAGTTGTATGCCAAATTCTCCAAATGCGAGTTCTGGCTCCAACGAATAGCTTTTCTGGGTCATGTGATTACTCAGGCAGGCATCGAGGTGGATCCTTCTAAGGTCTCAGCTGTTCAGAATTGGTCGACACTGAAGAGTCCGTTTGAGGTTCGCAGTTTTCTTGGTCTAGCTGGCTACTATCGCAGGTTTATCGAGGGCTTTTCCAAGATTGCCCTCCCACTATTCCAGCTGACGAGGAAGTCTGTGAAGTTCGAGTGGACTGACCGATGTGAGTCGAGCTTTCAGGAGCTCAAGAGGAGATTAACTTCAGCCCCGGTGTTGACTATTCCCGATCCTTCTCGGAGTTTCACCATCTTCAGAGATGCTTCGAAGCAGGGACTGGGATGTGTACTCATGCAAGACGGGCAGGTCGTCGCTTATGCATCACGTCAGCTCAAGCTGCACAAACAGAACTATCTGACGCACGACTTGGAGTTAGCTACAGTTGTTCATGCACTCAAGACCTGGCGACACTACCTTTACGGCGGTCGTTGCGAGATTTTCACAGATCATAAGAGCCTGCAGTACATTTTCACGTAGAAGGAGCTCAACACAAGACAGCGCCATTGGCTCGAGCTCGTCAAGGATTACAATTGCTCGATTCAGTATCATCCAGGAAAGACGAACGTCGTTGCTGACGCCCTAAGCCAAAAGGTGAGGGGTGACTTGACGTACGTCGTTACTCAGCAGAGTTCGCTAATTCAGGAGTTCGCCCGGATGCAGATTCAGGCGGTCGACGCACTTCCCATAGCCATTTCGGGGAGTGTCAGTGCCAGTGTTAATGCCATGCAGATTCAGCCGACGCTGAGAGAGAGAATCCGACGGGAACAGGCTTCTGACGAGTTTGTTCGAGTCATGGAGGCCAAAGTCAGCGCCGGAGGCGTCGAGGGATTTCAGTTAGGTTCAGACGGAGCATTGGAGTTTAGGGGCAGGATCGTGGTCCCGAAAGTCGAGGCGTTGCGGAAGGAGATATTATCAGAGGCTCATACCGCACCCTATCTAGCCCATCCCGAGAGCACGAAGATGTATCATGACCTGAACGGGTCGTTCTGGTGGCGAGGGATGAAGAAAGACGTCGCTGAGTTCGTCAGGAGATGTTTTACCTGTCAGCAAGTCAAAGCCGAGCATCAGAGTCCGATCGGCCTCCTACAACCACTGCCGATTACGAAGTGGAAGTGGGAGGAAGTCACGATAGATTTTGTTACGCGATTACCGAGGTCGTCTGAACATCACGATGCTATTTGGGTTGTGGTCGACAGATTGACTAAGGTCGCTCATTTCTTACCCGTTTCGATGAAGATGTCTTTGGATAAGTTGGCTGAGATATATACCCGTGGGATCATCCGACTCCACGGAGTGCCCGTTACTATCGTATCAGACAGAGATCCCAGATTCGTCAATAGATTCTGGCATAGTTTACACGAGGCAATGGGCACGAAGCTAGAGTTCAGTTCAGCCTACCATCCGGAGACTGATGGTCAGTCCGAACGGACCATTCAGACACTTGAGGATATGCTCCGCGCTTTGGTTGTTGACAAGGGTGCTAAGTGGGAGTCGTTGTTGCCGTACGCCGAGTTCGCGTACAACAACAGCTATCATTCTTCTATTCAGATGGCTCCTTATGAGGCACTTTATGGTCGTAAGTGTCGTTCCCCTCTTTATTGGGACGACGTCGGAGAGCGACAAGTACTCGGTCCGAAGATGATCGAGGAGACGGCAGATCAGGTCGAGTTGATCCGGCAGAGACTCAAGACAACTCAGAGTCGACAGAAATCTTCAGCCGATCATCATCGACGAGACATTCAGTTCGAAGTTGGCGAGCCAGCTTTTCTTAGAGTTCGTCCTATTCGCGGAGTCGTTCGATTCGGGAAGAGAGGGAAGCTGCACCCTCGATTCATTGGCCCGTTCGAAGTTCTCAAGCGAGTAGGCGAAGTTGCATATCGATTAGCCTTACCTCCCGAGCTATTCGGCATTCATAATGTCTTTCACGCATCTATGTTGCGTAAGTACGTGTGCGACCCCAATCATGTTATCCCTCATACAGATATTCAGGTTCAGCAAGACTTATCGTACGAGGAGCGACCGGTAGCTGTACTGGACCGTCAGGTTTGTCGGCTCTGGAAGCGAGATGTTTCCCTCGTGCGTATTCAGTGGGATCGCCACGGAGCTACTTGGGAGGCGGAGGCTGACATTCGCGTTCGTTTTCCAGATTTCCAGTTTTGATGTACATATTTTCATGTTCCATGTACATAGTTGTGTATATTCAGTTATGTTTTGAATTTCCGAGGACGGAAATTTTTAAGGAGAGAGGACTGTAATATCCCGTCAGATTAATTATATAAATCATGTTTTAGTTCCGATATAATAATATTGTCGAGTATTATTTTTCGGAATTAATTATTTTCAGTCGAAATTACCCGAAATTATTTTCGATGTTCCGTTTACGTTCGGAATAATTTTGGTAATTAAGCTATATGCTTAGTAATGAATTAAACATAATGTAGTGATTAATTAATAATTAATCACAAGTCAAAAACCGTAGCTTTTTATGGAATTTTGCCCAAATTCTCTTGAAATTGCCGTGAGCAATTTCCTTCTTAGATAGAAAACTTTTGTTTTCCTTTTAGCTTGAGGTGTCCCTTTAAGTGGCTATTAGTGATTTCTCATGAAATAAAGGGATGAGTTAGCATCAAGATTAAACCTAATAAAGGCAAGTGTCATGAGCTAAATTAGCCACCAAGACTACACCTCATCTATTTCTTTCTTTCGGCTAGTATATAAGGGAGGACATTGGGGCAAATTTTCCCCATCTTCTTACAGCATATATTAAGTCTTTCATTACTACATAGAAAGAGTTAGGGAGATTTGAGAGTTTTCCTCCAAGCTTAGTAGTTACCGCAAGCATAGCACGCGCACCGCACATCACCGCCGATAGAGCATAGCACACGCACGGAGGCTTCGGTTGTCCCGAGCAGTTAGTACGATCAGTCGAGGGTTCAAGAAGGTAACTTTGTTTTACCTTGAGTTATGTTAGCTCCGGTTGTGCTATGATCTTGTTCATGTTACGGCTTAAGCCGTTTGTGCGTGCGTGTAATCCATTTAGATCATGTCATGTTTAATTGAATTTCTCGAGCAAACCTTATGTATTCAGCCCATATTTTGTTGTTTAGTCCCTGTTCTTGATTTCATTACCATTTTCAGTTAAAATTCCGGGTTCAGTTCAGTTCAATAAATTAATATCAGTTCAGTTTCGTATTTAACCGGTTCCAGTTATACCGATTAAATCTGAATACCGGTTCCAGTTAACCGGTTCCAGTTATACCGTATGTTGAGTCTAGTAGAGCATCTTAACATAATTAATCAGTTAATTTATCAGTCTGAGCATAGTCCTTAGTAATTGTTTATATTATTTTCAGTTTGATCAGGCATCAGCACTACCTTCATTTTCAGCAGTTCAGGTGGGGACTCAGACTGGGTATTACATTGATTATAATATCGCTACCATGTTTGAGTTATGTATATTCAGTATCCGCTCGGAATGGTTGCCGGTCCATTCTGGGTTCTAGTGGCCCTAATCTGCCCACTAGAGTGTGCACATGGTGTCCGGTATTAGTTTGTGCCGGCAGCTGTTCAGTTTCAGACAGGTGACGTATATCACGAGATCAGTATCAGATTATTCAGTACCGGTATCAGATATCAGTTATCAGTTTCAGTTTCAGTTCAGTTATATATACCAGGATCATGATATTGTTATTATTTTCACTGTTTTACTTTAGTATGAGTTTCTGCGGAGCACAGTGTTTTGGTGCTCACGCCCCCACGTATTTCATGTTTTTCAGGTCACAGAGTCGGGGATGAGGATAGAGCTGATGAGCTGTTCAGGATATTTGTTTTATATGTATATATTATGTTTTGACCACGCTACTATTTCGCTTCAGTTTTTAGTACTTGAATTCAGCTTTTGATCCGACAGTAGTCGGTTAATATAATTATAACTGTTTTTATTATCAGTTTAAAAATTAACGGTTTTTCGAAAAGTCAGATTTTCACGGTAACACTCCGAATTAGTTTTCGCAAAAATATTTAATTAAATTTATTCAGAAAATTTGCGAAAAAGCGTACTCTGATTTCAGTAAATAGCGGGGTGTTACAATTGGTATCAGAGCACGTTTCTGCGTCTCTGAAAAATTTTATAAGTCAGAAATTTTTAGAAAAACCTGAACCGTCACGCTCATGCCTCGCCGACTACAGGTAAGTGCTG